TGAGAGACGTGTGTGTGTGTGTGTGTGTGTGTGTGTGTGTGTGTGTGTGTGTGTGTGTGTGTGTACCTACGGCGTCTTGTCATCACAAATCTAGTTGAGAGCGTACTACGAACGCGCCGAGATTCTTCAAAACTAGGATATATTATGTAAGTGAGTAATGCTAAATCAGTTCTTAATTTATATAAAATTGGTAAACTTCTCTGTTAAGAATCTTAAACGACAAGACGATATCTTCGAAGAGATACTGTATTATAAGAAATGTAACACGTGAAGAAATAAATTCTAAATCGTCTTGCAATAATGCTTTATACATATATGTTAATTTTAAAAGGTAAAGAAGCAAGGGTGAAGCCAGTGGAAATTAGTGAAAACAGTCCAATTAGTTACAAATTTGGCAAAGTACAAAAATGGTATGGCTTTTGGTACGTGTGTGAAAATGCTAAATGCTCATTGGCAGATTAATATTTCACTAATCAGGAATTGTATGCTTGTACCACGATAACTAATTGTTCAAACCAAAGTTACTCCACTCATCTTGACTGTCCGGCCTTGAAGTAGACCATCAGCTTTAGAAAGACAGCTGTATACTTCGTACACATCTTGTAATAGCCAAGACCGATCATCACCGACATCTGCTGGCATTAATACAATAATAATAATTAATAAGAATAAGAATAATAATAATATAGAGCAATTAGAATACAATATAGGTACAGTAAATTTTTTGTTAATTTAATTCTACGTCATGTCTTCATCTTATTTGTTATACAATTTATTTGAAAGTCTGGTCCGTCTTGTTAACTCTTTTTAAATTCTTTCAAATATTTGTCTCTATATGGTCACTAATACGAGGCAATGGTGAAACAGTTTAGAGGATGCAGATCAATCTGTTGTCAGACCGTTATCAGAAGTAAAGTAATTTCACAAATATTGCAAATGATGGCGTATACAAATTGTTGTTTGATGTGGAGGCGGGTGTGTTTTTGATGTAATAGGCTTAAAGTATAAGATAGCAACAGTGTCGTAAGATAGACGTTGATGCAATTTTGTGGCAATCACACTTATATGAAGATGAGGAGAGAGGGACTTTCCTTGAGATGATTCGTTTTCTAGAAAATTTGAAAATAAATTTGATCGGATATCCCCAGTCATAAGTGATCAAAGAACGCTTTGTAAATTCAGTAGCATCTTGCACCAGTAGACCTAAGTTTCTGAAAGAGTATAGTCATCACAAAGTAAAACATAATCATTGTAAAGAATGACAACGAAAAGAATTAACGCTCATTGCATTTTTTAACATCTGCATTCATTTGTGTGCTTGTCTTTCCCCTTTTCAAAGTTGGCTTAAACCATGTAATAAACTATGTCAAACCAGAATGAATATTATCATAAAATTAAAAAGTAAGATAATGCGACAGGAAATACTACAGCACTGCTATATACGTTTTGAAAGTCGGAAACAACTGCTATGAAATGTAATGGCATAAATAAATAATTAGTAAGTAATATTTACTTAAATGAATATCATAATATGTTTCTTAAATAGAGGTTTAACAAACAGTTAGTGCTTCATAGATACTCCTGCACAAACATCGATGATATTCACAGACTGGTATAACAATTGCTTTTCAATATCCCGCTTCATGAACTTTCTTAAATGCTAAATAAATTTTAATGGAATTCCCGATAATTATTGTGAAGTTGAAGTTGAGCATATAGAATTGATTACATTAATTAAAGAAGATAAAATTTGGCATATCTAAACATTTCACTAAAGAGTTAAAATGTAAAAAAGACAACATTATAAAGGAAAGTAACAACGAACAATACGCAAGACAAGTACAACATTCATGGATAAATGAAGAAAGCAAAACACAAAAATATTCAGAATCAAAAACAAGACAATTACGTTTGAAAAACAATGGGGAAAACATTTAAAAAAAAAAATGCAAGAGGAGAAGAGAAGAAACATTCTGCAAAATGGATTGCACAAAAATGAATTTGAGACATATATAATTTCATTTAAAATATCATAAGGCTAGATGTTATCCCATTCGAACAGTACTGTTCCTTCTTTGTTCCTTCTTTTCATGTATTTTGTCTGGCATATCCTTTTTTTTTATTGAAATGTGGAACAAATCTTGAATGTAAAACACATTTGCCAATAAAAGTTAGCTTGTATCTTGTATCCCATCCAAAGCAATTGTACTATTTTGTGTTAGCTACTCAGTAATCCTGTTCTCTATAAGAAGATATTTAGTTGATAATAATGTCAGAATAAAATGAAAATGGAATACACGTGTGTCTGAGCTGAGTTTATTTACTAGTATATATGTTATTATACATTTACAATCGCAAATACATGGCATTTTGGCGACAATGATGGCAAGCATATACTACGACCACCAAACGCAAATACATGGTATTTTGGTGACAATGATGTCAAGCATACCGAATACTACGATCATCTTTCTTTCTACAAAATGCAGGTACTCCACCGATACAATAGATGCAATAACATTAAACAAACTTATAATAATAAATGCCCACATAGATAGTTATTATGAAAATAATTGTTAGTCTAGAGTGCTTTTTTTTTTTGGAGTTGCTTTAGTCGTCAACAGGAGAATAATGGCAAATGAAACATGAAACATTTCAATCGAAACGTCGAAAGTCGATCTTTAAAAAAAAAAAACAGTTCTTCCAAAAAAGAATTGAAAGCCTCCTTTTCAGATTTCTGTGGAAAAAGAGGATAACAGTGATTGGTCAAAAAGTAAGGGTGGTCCTGATATTATTATCTCCCAAGTGTAATTGCATCGGTTAAAATAACACGTATGAAAAGGTTATTTGATGACAAAATCTCAAAATGGAATTTACTACAAAAACCATTAGAAATCAACTTGTTGATAATATTTGTCTAACCTAGATCACAACTGCTCTGGAATATTAAGTCCTTAAATAACAATTTGAACTGGAGTAATATCTGTAAAAATCTATCAACCGTTAATCTGTTGGAAAAATTTAAAAATATGACCTTACTGTTATCCAAATTCGAATATTGTTAGATAATCTTCATCAAATAATTATTTTACACATACTAAAAGTCTCCCTACAAACGTAGCCCATAAAGGTAGTTAAACACGTGGTTGATCTCTGTAAATACAAGCTATCTCATCATGTTTCCTAATCCGACAAGTATGAACATCCAGAAATTGGAAGCTTAATTTATCAAATAACCAATTTTCTGCTAAATCCTACTTTGATCTCACTCTAAACCCTATGAGGTTAATGTATTTGGAATAATTTCAACATTAAAATTAACGGTAAACCCTGTCTTTATGTTTCACTGCTGCAGGGGGATGGAATTGGTAAGTGGTCTTTTTAATGATAATGGGGAAATTTTTTCCTTTGACTTTTGGCTGGCCAGACATACCAAAGACTTGTTTTTTAAATTGGAGAAGTGTGATTGCTGCAATTCCACCCACCTGGAGGAAGACTTTGAGTCATGGTTTTAATAGAAAAGATTGTAAAGTGAAGGGTCTCCAAATGTTTGAGGAGGAAAGAATGACAACAAAAGCATTATATCAGATAATTATTTGTAGATTTATTGAACCACCTACCGCTAATTAAAATATAGTAGTAAATTTATCATATATGAAAATGTGTGGATTCACATCTATTTTTACCTTTCAAGTGCAGTCAAGATACAAATACCCAGGTTTTTTCAGTATAAAATCAACACAAATTCCCTTATAACAAATACTGTACAAGACTTTTTGAAATGAAAATTTTGAATAATGTTAGTTCACTCTGTAAAATGCACAGCGAAACAATGAGACATCTTTTGTTTAACTGTGATAGAGTGAAACTAACAGGGACAAGTTTTCAAATTTGGTGGAATGAGGCAATGCAACAAAAACTCGTATTAGATTACAAATCAATTATTTTTTGGGGTTAATTGTCTTAAATCTGATTTGCCTTTTAGGAGCAGAATTGGATTTTTTTTTTCTGCTGGCTTTCAATATTTCAAAATTGTGCTTAAATTAATTTTTCAAGTGCCATGAAATATTGAAAATATTGAAATAGTGAAATATTGCCATGGAGAGAAATACTATGTATAAGTTCACTGTTAAATGAAATAAAACTGATTTTATCTGAATTGCCCGGGTCTAATCTATTTGTATTAACAAAAAAAAAGTGAAAAGGAATTCGTAAAATTTAGGTTTAAAAGAAGGTTGTAAATTTATGGGATTGTTTATGTGTAGGTCGAATAATAATGATTGTTCAGGTACGATGGAAAAAAAGGGGGGAAAAAACGAGGTGTTCTTTGTTTTTATGGAGACAGGTGTACAATCATGATGGTTGGGCTTTTTGAGTTGGTGGAGTGGGGCAGTGCGGGGGAGGGTTGCGGTAGGTCGTGGGTTGGTTGTTTCTGGGGTGAGTCCTCTTGGTCCTGGCTTGCTTTTGGTTCTCTGTGTTTTTTAATGCCGAGGATTGGCGGGCGGGTTCAGATTGGGAGTATTTGCCCCGGGGGTGATTGTTATGTGTTCTGTTGTGGTTTCCTGGGGCACTCCCTCACTACACCAAGTTAAAAAGGTAAATGTTTTGCTGTGCTTAAAATAAGGTCGTAAACGTCTGGGGATTGTTTTCTCTAGTATCTAAAGTGTAAAAAGGAAAAAATGAAGGGAAAAAAAAGAAAGAGGAAGAAGAAGGGAAGAAAAAAGAAAAATCAATTTTTTTAAAAATGGCAAAAATTCCATTGTGGTAATACCTCTGAAGGTTTATCTATTTTTTTTCTTTTATATTGAGTGATTGTTTTTGTACAATTAACCAACTTTTGGAGCACGGGGCTTATTTTGTTTTTAGAAATAAAAAATAAAAAAAACTTTGTGAAGAAAAAACAAATATTCTGCTAAATATTACCCTCTGAAAATATATTATCATCTATCCATACTATTCTCATAAAAGATGTAAATAAATTTATTACAATGTGCAATAGATTTAAAACAAATTTTTCCAGTTCCATTTTATTTTAAATTTGTCACCCTATTACAAAGTGCAACAAAGCTCTAATGTAATATAAAGTCCGACATATATATTACAACTTGTAGGGCTGTCCAGTATTCGTCTGATCTTTAAACACAGGATTTGCAATATCCAGTAACTAGAAAATAGAAGAGAAGAAAATAATGTAATATTAGTCTACCAATATGTACATTTAAATACCACCAATTTGTAATGACACTGGCGAAATATTCATTAATTGCTGGCATTTACAGAGAGACGAATAATTACAACATTCTTACAGAAAACAATAAAACTAAAATTTAACTTAATTTTAACAACTATAGATAAAAACAACTTAGATTTCGGATAACACTTTCATATGTAAGTCATCAATAATATTACTGAAAAATAATAATGTCTTATAGAAATGTTTTAGAGATTCAGAAATCAGGTCGGAATAAAGATAGCCATGAATTGATTTGTATTATGTCTATTTTTAATGAAGATAAATAGTACATCATGTGTTTGATAAAAGTAAATCATGAAATAATATTGTATAATCGTTTGCGGATCAGGGCATAAAGGAAATGGTTTAATATTGTAAAAAAGCAGCTTAATACAAAGTTAATAAACTCTAATTTTTGTACTTCAATAATAAATAATTAACATTCGTCAAAATTTGTAGATCCCTCTCGTTTTTTTTGTACTTTATTGTTATGTTTGTATTGAAACGTCTTATTTCTGGTACTCGGGCACTTATATTTTACATTATTATATAGTTTATAGGGTACTTGGATTCATTTTTGTTATAAAATATTTTACTCTTGTTTATAAGCAAATCAAAACATAATTCGGCATTTTTCGTTTTAATTTGATCATTCATAATTAAATAAAATGCATCAATACAAGAAATGGTTCAATAAAATGTATTCGATCGATTTGTACTAATTAGCACATAGATGTTATCAATATAGCTGTCAATACTCACGTGTTGTGCACCTTGGTCCAACAAACCCAGTCGGACACCAGCAAGACTGGGTGTTATCAACTGAATTGATACAGACCGCACCGTTCCTGCAGTCGATGTTACAACTGTCTCCTGAAATGTAAACATACTAGGGTTATTTGACGATGACTAACTATAAATTCGGTACAATCATTCATATAT